TATACAGCCGTAATCAACATATCCACCCCAAAATAACTAGGAAGAGATGTCTCAATAAGCATAATCCGAGTAAGTTCAAGTAGATGACGGTGTTTACGCTCAGCAAGTCCATTTTGTTGAGGGGTATGAGGACATGATTTTTGAAAATAAATTCCATGAGAATTAAAAAATTGCTGCATTTTAGAATTAACAAATTCACCCTCTCTATCACTTTAATAAATTTTAATTCGAGAGTTAAAAAGATTTTCAACTAAAGATTTAAAAAATTTAAGAGTCAAAAACCTCGTTTTTAGCACGTGAGGGATAAATCCACGTAAAATGAGAAAAATCGTCAATGAAACAGGCATAGTATTTAAATCCCAAATTAGAAAGAACAGGACACTGCCACACATCAGAATGAATTAATTGCAAGGGAGAAGTAGAGGTGTGAATAGTATCGGAAAAAGGTAATCATTGGGACTTGTCTAACCGGCAAGGAATACAATCATGAGAAAAGCTAAAACTATTACATATGCGTTTTTGATTGCTTAAAATACATAAAATATTTTCACCACAATGACAATATACGATGCCACACAGGGCCAGTGGTGAGAACTGATGACATCAAATCCTGTTCAGCATGCTCGAAGTAAGCATATTCAGATTGATTATCACTTTGTTCGTGAACGTGTGGCTCATGGTGATCTTGTGGTTAAATATGTGCCTACTAGTCTTCAGCTGACGAATATATTTACTAAGAGTCTCTCTAGTCAGGAATTTCATTTTTTAAAAGACAACCTGCGCGTTGTATCTCCCGCACAGTTTGAGAAGGTGTAATACTGTAATTGCCTAATATTAAATTAGGAATACTTTATATTTTTGGAAACTCTTTTTATTATAAATATATCTTCCAGGCACCCTATTGGGTAACCTTTCCCATTATTTCACAAGACTAAGTGTCATCTCCTTCATAACCGTGACGTATAAATCAAATAGAGCACATACTTTGCTGGTTATGATAGGCGAGTCACCGCCAACCGGATGTTGTACTTCGTACATTAGAGCGTTTTGGTAATTTTTTGGAAGAATTCTCAAAATAAGAATAAACAAGTTTTGAAATTTCAATATAGAACTGTTGTTGTCATATTACCAACTATATTAGAAAAGTTTTGTATAAAACTTTATTATATTGCATATAACCAACTTTCAACAATAATATCATACTACGTAATAATTATCACATATAAGTGTGCTATAATAAAGTTTATAATAATATATAGTTAATGGTTACTTATTTCAATAATTTAAATTATTTCATAAATTTAAAAAATTAAGATAAAAGATAACAAAAAATATGTACCATCGATCGAGACAGTCAGACAGAGAGGAAGAAAGAAGAAGTCGGAACTCGGAAGCAAAGCAACACATAAAGCACAAGGGAGAAGACTAATGAGAGACTTAGGACACATTTACTTCACGAGTTACTAAATGGTGCTTATTAAGATCCGCGCTAATAAGTTGCACATAAATTAAGCAGTGTTGTAAGCTCATGTTTACTTCAAAGGATTTTTAACACCTTTTAACATTAAAATGTCCAAAATAACTCTATACATATATAGACACACAAACATTCATGAACACAAGTATATAATATAATCTTCCTTACATACATTCCTTGAACCACTATAAAAATCTCTGGTGTCATTTACTTACTGCTTTTAATATTCGCTTTTACTTTTAAACTGCTTAACTCCAAAGAAGTGGTATCTGTGTTCAGTAGAACACCTCTTGTGAGTTAACAGAAGGCCTAGTGCCTTTGCATCTCTGTGAGGCTATCCCGTCAGAACTCCTACCAGAAGACCTCCGCTGCCAGTCTGTTCTCAACAGAACAGGCTTTTCTGTTAACCTTGATACCTAGCTTGAAAAAGTTAAAAACCATAATAGTCTATTCACCCCCCTCCTCTAGACTGTTACCTTGATAACCGGGACCAACACTCGTAAAATGTATTTGATTACATGACACTTGACACTAACTATAACTACAGTCTACCAGTAAGTATTCTTGTAATATTTTCTTGTAAACTATTATTATAGTCTACCAAAGGTCAAAGGATTAAAGCAGTAAGTATAATACCAAGTGGAAGTGTTCTTGTACAGTGCATGACCGCAACACCAAATAGTGGAATGCTTTCTTGGCTGATATATATATATGTGTGTGTTCATTTAATCCTAGATAATCACTATACCTTGCTTTCTTGGCCGTCTTATTTATGTTAACATTTGTTATTTTTTTTATTGCTTGGTTGCAACCAAAATTATCCTCATCAATATATGTACATTAGTATGAATGTTTTAACGGTTTTGTATAAGATTACTGTGACCATAGGAACATCTATGACTTTGAAGGCTTAACTTGCACTTTATTCCTTGGATGGCTACAGAAAACACGGAGTTTGAATTTTTCCATGAATTAAGTGTGTGTAGTGCTCTGTAACTTATCTAACTTATCCCAAGTAAGCTTGACTTATCCATGTAGTGGAGGATTTCTCTTAAAGAGTGATATAACAGAGTACGGAGGAAATTTGTTCGTAGCTTGAATGCCCCTTCAGTAGATCAGGAATTCGAATTGCTGTAAATTTGAGTTCGAAATCTCAGGAAGTATCAAACCTTTCTTATTATATACGGAGTAAGTATTAAGTAATTAAGTTCCCCCGAATTAGTTGTAGCTGATTGTGGCATGTATCTTCCCTCACTGAAAGTGACATCTTTTTTATTGATTTTTTTATTTGGTTAGCCTATGCTAATATGCCATCAAGTTAGCTTGTGCTTATTCCTATTGTTATATCACAATAATCTGAAATTATTTATAAGGTATAGTAATGAACTCATTATAAGTATATAACATGGGTGCTTTATTTGAAATGTTTGTTTTACAGGTGAGGGATTCACATGAAGATGAAGATAGAATGGAATCAAATGATGAATGATGCATACCCATGATTGTCACTTGTTCTTCTCCTAATAGTAGTGATCAGGCATGTGTGCAAATATATAAACCGTTACATTACATAATTAATCAGGGTCAGTGTATTTCCAAAACCGTTACCCTTGTGCATGTTACAAACCGTTACATATGTACACAATCTGTTGTAATGTTTATGGCATTGTTGTGAGGAGCGTTACAGTTGCTCATAAAATTGGTTACGAGTCATTAAATTAGAGCAAATGCAACGCGAGCAAATGTAACGACGACAAACTATTACAATAGGTTGAATGTAACAGTTTCTTGGACCAAAGGTCACAAAATCTGCTGTTACAAAAGACCCGAAAATGTAGTAGTGTGAGTATGGCGAAGGCCAGAGTTCGGCCAACGATGGAGGATCAATCACAGTGGTACTGAATGTTAGCAGGGCCGGCTTGAGGATTCTAGAGGCCCTAGGCAAAAAAGCACATAACTACTTAAGTATCGAATTTGACAAAATCTATTTTTACATATCCCTTCATAGATCGGGCAAATAATATTATCATCAAATCTCGAGATAATTTTTATTTTCTCTATCTTTGTACATGCACAAATAGTTTTAAAATGCACTTTTAGTCCCTCAAATAATCAGCATATTCAAATGTTAGACTCGAATTTTCAAGTTTGCAAATGTCACTTCTCAATTGTCCAAATCGCTGTAAATGCGATCCTTTGAGAGGTGAAATGTACAATGTGGACGAGGAGTACATTTCACCCCTCAAAGGACCACATTTACAGCGATTTGGACAATTGAGGGGTGACATTTACAATCTCAGGAATACGGGTCTGAAATTTTTATATGATAACTATTTCAGGGACTAAAAGTGTGATTTTTCCAATAATTCTTTTGTGTATCAGTCATTCAGTCATCACAAGAGCTACATATTTGTTACAAACACTGAAATAGAAAATCACAAATAAAAATATATGAGTGTTGTATGCTCGATCAAATTAAGTAAATATTTACATATTACAAACTAAACATTTGAATACAAACGTTAAACAAACAAACAAAATTAAAAGCACTTTGATTAGAGAGCAACAAAATTAATAATAATGGAAAAATTTAGGGAAAACTATCAAATAAGTCCCCTACTATTAAAAAAATCAATTACCCCTGTACCAAAACTTCCTCCAATTAAGCCATCGAAATGATTAAAAACGGGCAATTCCTCTTTTTAACCTGTAAACGACATGTTACCAGTTAAACAACGTACAATTTGTCTGACATGACAAATTTAAACTTGGGTGCCAAATTTATTAAAGAAACTAAAAATCTAAATTAAACTGTGGTGCGGTTCACAATTACAGTACTAAAATAAAGTGCTATGCAATATTTTGGTGCAATACGTAATACGACTAACGAGTTGCAAAAGCGTAGAACAACGATTCAACTCTTCTAACTCAAACATACAATATCAAGAATTAAAAATACATCGTAATTACTAGATACATTTTAAAAAATGAAGCCCCATAGAAACGTGAGGCCTTAGGCAGCTGCCTGGGCTAACTCCCCTTGGAGCCAGTTGTGAATGTAAGACACACAAAACTTTCTAAAAGAAAAACGAGATGATTTGTTTGAGAGATCCTAAAATGGTAAGTATGAAAAATTTTATAGGACGGATGGAGTACGTATATCATTACTAAGTCTGAATGTTATACAAATAATAAAGTAAGAACCCCAAATTAATTATTTAAAAGATTAGACAACATGTCAATGTGTTTTTAGACGTACAATTAAAACAAGAAAATTGACAAATTTCATAGGGACCACAATGTATAATTTATAGAATTAGTTCCCCTTTTGGTCCTATGTGTTTTATATCAATTCCATATTTAGTCCACGTCTTTTACTGTCTTTTTTGGTACTCAACTGATGTTTCTTTTCTTGACCATTTGTGGTCCCTTTTCAGCTATTTTAACCACAGAAACATTATTGACAGAAAGGATCATACATAGGACAAAAACACAATAATCATATATCAAAGTGATCAATGTGAAATACGAGAACCACTTGTTGAATTGATGTGATACTCGTAGAATCAAGAGTGAAATTTATTCATAATTTATACATTACATTGGGGTTGGCCCCATATCTAAAAAAAGGTTGACACCCCATCCCTGAGGCCCCCCAGCACTGACCGGACATCTAGTTGGAGGATGTAAATTGAGCTTTGATCTCACTCTAATGGAAAGAGAGTGAGGCTCCATCCCAAGTCATTGCTTGGAGTCGAACCTGAGACCTCTCCCTTGTGCCACTCTCTTCCTACCAGGTGAGCCACGCCCCTGGTTGGCCCCATATCTAATAATCTACATATAGACATTATGGGTAGGTAAGCGGTAGCTTTATATTACTATGTAGTAAGTGTACGGAGTAACTGCCTAAATAGGAGTAAATAAAAGCTAAATTGCAACAACATGACTATAGGAGCATAAAGTTTAAATAAAAAAATGAAAAAGATAAAAAATAAAAAAATAAAATTACATGCTGGCCTCAACCACCACCTTAGCGACCTTCCAGCACCGTCACCTCCGGTCGCCAAGAAAAAATGCCAACCTGCAAATAATGTAATCTTTATGACAATTTTGAAAGAAAAATTTGGTAATTCCAAAGTAAAAACGTTGCATTCATGTCATTGTAAGAATTTTAAGATAAATGTGACATTTTTACAAGAGATAACATTTTTTCTGGTGATCGGAGGTGGTGGTACTAGGGGTGGAAGATGTTGTGGCAACGGGCTATTCAATTTTTTTTTTTACATTTTTGTTATAAATTTATAAATATTTTTATTTTTTATTACAAATAAAACTATGGGGATGATAAAATAAGTCATACCCGGGATTGTAGAAAGGGGATAGAGTAACAAGAGGGAACTCCTACTTTGGGAATAAAAAGATTATAGTCCAATTGTTACACGTAAGAGTAATTTTTACTCCTATTTGAGGGTAATAGCCGTAAGTATATTTACAAATTGGGAGTGATCAAATAGGGCAGCCTCTCTTTGCTTTGGATGTCTTTTATCACATTCAGCGTGTGGATCTGAATGCTGGCCTAAAAAGTGTGTTATGATCAAGCAGATGAGATGTAACCTGCCGTAGGTTTTTTATCCTCTTCTACACCTTGAACGCCACCATTCAAATTTAACGCATCAACCTCCTCCATCTGACATTGTGATTCAAACTTCTTTCGAATGCGCTTGATGTACTCTTCAGCTTTGGTATCAATATCATCATCAGCCGCCTGTACACTATGGCCATGACCAGTTACATTACTGTCGGCAATGGTCGTGACGTGATTGCTTGGCTGATGATGATAACGATGATGATAATGACGATGATCGTTCCGCTGCCACCCAGACGATGAGGATGTGGTGGGGCTTGATGAGGAGGAGCTCATCATAAGTTTTTTTTCTTTATTGGATGATTTGAATCTAATGTTTTTTGTGCTTTGGCTCGAGCCCATATTATGATATCGTATATGTGTATTGGTGTTTGTATGAGGGATTTAGTTTTATATATGGAAGGATCGATCAGAGTGTTTTATCTTTAAAAAATCCTTGGGTTCACTATATATATTGAAGTTTCCTGGCGAGTAATTAATGTTTTTTTACGAAGACTTCATATTCTATAGAATATAGGATTATAGGGTGTATAACTTTTGCGTGTTAATGATGCTACGTAATCGATGAGTGTTTTTTAAGTTAAGAATAACTTGGAACCATATTAAGTATGTAAGTCAACATGATTCTTTGTCATTGTACTAATGAAAAATACAATTAAAAAAATCATGCTCTTTAAAATAAACACGTAGGTGTCCAATTTTTTTCGGAAACATTCTTCTAAATCTATTATAGTACCTGCACATGTTAATGTCAACATCCTTGATTGGAATGAGACTACAACATGCAACCTCCATTTTAGGAGATCAGCAGTGATGTCATGAGACCACAAAGTACTTGGCTAGGTGTCCAAATATGAACAACCTATGAGTACTCCAAATTTTAACAATTTTTAACTATGTTACATTTTTTTTGAGGCACTAAGTTACATTAATTCACTTTCACATTCATTAAGGCTTTGTTTTAATCCAATTTCAAATTCTTTCAATCGTTAGTTATTAAAGATTAGCATCACAAATAACAAAAAAAAAATAGCATACAATGTTTGTTCCATGTTACCCCATCTTCAAAGAAAATTTGAGATTTAGATTCTTACAAAGCCATTTTAGTCTTATAACTTTACTCAATTGCATTTTTGGTCTTGTAATTACTCCATAAAAGAATTACTCAAATTAAGAATGGTTCGCTTCTTGCAATTGCTACATATGTATTACTTCGATCAAAAAAATTAAGAAGCCCAATAATAATATCAAAACGAGTTATGACATTAAGAAGCTAATTTATTAAATCTTATGACTATTAAACAATTAATAAACATATAAGACATAATAATTTTTTAAGCAATATAAATAGTATTGAGCAACTAGACATTTTGCTTCAGTTGTACCACTCCGTTAGGCTTCAGTTTAATGGTGTTTCTTTAATAAAATACGTAACAATACGTACGGTACGTGTATTATACATTTTATCTTTAAAGTACGTGAATTTTTCAGTATTTTCTGAAAAATTCATAAACGGGAGTATTATACACGAATTATACGTTTGAGTGTATTATACGTGAATTATACGTGAATAAACTAACAAAGACAGGAATGAGACTAACCATTAATGAATTAATAATGCTCTCTGTCTCATAGAAAGGTTTTGGCTTTGCTTTTTTGAACGTAGGTTCTCATTTTCATTTTAGAAAATAATTAACAATATAAAAAAAGTAATCATTAAATAATAAAAATAATACATTTATTACATCACAGTTATCAACACTAACCTCATCATATTATATACCTATTACAATTATTTTTCCAAATATACTCGAATTACCTTATTTAATTATTCTCTAAATAATCGTGTCGTTTTGTCATGTGAACCTTTTAATGAGAGAGAGGTAGTAATAAATATTATAAGTTTAATAACACACACTTTACAAATTATTGAAAACTACTCTATTGAAAACACTTTTTATTTTTCTGATTTCCTTCATTGTCACATATCACGAACTTGAAACCAGACGTACTTGTCACCCTTGAAACTGCAACATATAACTGCCCATGTGTAAAAATCGGACGTCGTAGAAAAACACTCAACATTTTTTAACGATTGTGCTCGACTCTTGTTCGTCGTCATCACATAACTAACCATAAAAGAGAATCACCTACGCATAAATGTAAAAGAGAGCCACACATCTGTTGGGGTTAGAGTAATCATTGCGAATATGAAACTTCTAACTTCCATCACCTCCCGACATCATTTGTGCCTCAATAATATATGCACCAAATTTTGTCATTAAAAGTCAGGTACCATTACACAAGCCAGCTGAATTATCTATTTTCCTCATGAGCATCACCTGTACACCAATTTTTAACTTCAACTCGTGACTTTGCACACCAGAACATTTTATACCATTAAGAAACTCGGGTGAATGAATTTCCTCTAGGAGCTCATTCTCTGAGGTTGAGGAACATGCTGAATTTGAACTGAAATAGGTCTTCTCCTCTAAGTTGTTCTGCAACAATGTGAAATCTAACTCATCAATTGCCGGAACAAGAATCCCTCTCCCACGACTGTGCATAATAAGTTCTTTGACTACATTGTAATATTCTGGGTCAAACTTCTCAGGGCCAGCCCTGACATGTAGAAGGCCCTGTGCAAAATTGAATATGAGGTCTCAAGTACAAAACACTATATTAATGCTTCCACCGGTTTTAAATAATAGTCTCTTTAGATTTTTTGTGGGTTTTAAGAAGAAAATAGTAGGTGTAGTATAGAGGTGTAAGGTAAATGAAAAAGTAGAAAAGAAAATATATTAAGAAAAGTAAAGTAATGACAAAGTATAAAAAAGAAAGTAGTTACAACACTACAACAAAAATTATTTATAGAGGCAAGACATAGTTGCCTCTATAAGTAGGGATGTAGCCTCTAATTACTTTTAGAGGCAATTTATTGGTTGCCCCAAAGGCGCCTCTAATTAATCCGTCCCTAAATGATGGTTGCCTCTAAACCTATTTTTTGAGGCAACAAAAAGTGTGACTCTAAAACATATACCTTTAGAGGCAACCATATTATGTTGCCCCAAAATGTCATTGGAGGCAATCAAATTATATTGTCTCAAAATATAATTAGAAGCAAACGTAATTATATTGCCTCAAAATGTTATTAGAGGCAATACCATATATTATCACTATATAGTTAGATGCATTTTATTTCTTTGTTATTTATGCTTTTAGAGACAACAATACGATAATGTTAATTTGTTGCCTCAATCAGATTAAACAAATCATTACGAATCGTTAAATGCATTATCAGATGCGAACACTTAAATTACACATTTTGCTACTTTTATAGTATCGTAAAACACTACTTAAGATTATAAGAATAGTTAACAATAAATTTCACTACAGTTAGTCATAACTGGCTATAGAACTTAAATTCAGAACATTGTTTAGTCATACAATGATGTAGTTACATAAGTTAACTTTAAGTAGATTACTAGACAATAAATCTCAATAATACAAAGCAAGAACAAGTTTTGTTGCTGCTAACTATTCAGTTGAAACCAGATGAAACTAAAGGCCATAGGAATAATTCTACTTCATTGTCATCATCTATTGGCATTTCCTCGCTCTATCAATCCATCTGAAATATCAGAGGAGTAAATTAGTATTTTATAAATTCTAATATAAAAATATAATTTAAGAAATGACTAAGAAAGATAGTGTGATGAGATAACTCATTACTTATTTATTAGCTATGGAAAATCATAGACGGAAACTAACACTAGATAAAAAAACAGCAATAAACAAATTGTTTGAAATTTTTGTGTATGGAAAAACTGCAATCGCTAACACAAAACGAACTTCCCTTACTAAGTCATTATTGTTGTATTACAGTTTTGTCTTTTATTCTTTTAAGTTATTATTATTAATGATATTGATTGATAATGTGGAAATTTTGTGTTGTCTAGAATTCCATGACCTTATAGCTACATGTAGCTTATTATACTCTCATATTGTCTACTCATGTTGTTACTATTTTATCACTACTCGGTATCTTGGGCTTGTAAAAATCATAAATGAAGGTATTAACAAAAACCCGTAGAATACCATTATACCAAACATCATAAAGAATAAAAACTGGTAGTACCAAAGATAAGACGCTAACATATATGCTTTGATAATGTTTTCATATGTAGAACCAAAGAAGCTCAAGACTTACCTCTTCCACATGCAGTTTGGTCAAAACATGCTCTAAGAGTTAATTCTTGTACCTTTTGGTCAGAATGTCTGAAAAACTATATAATCATAGATCAAATGTTTTCATATGAGAAGGTCTATATTCTGAAGTAGTTATAATTAAACAGATCAATTCTGAAATAAACCTTGTAGTTTGTACACAAGCAGGGCTACAAATGCAAACTTAAACCACATATATCAAAAAGCAGTTGAAATCAATAATGGTTGGCTTCTCTGTGTACAAACTAAGCATAACAAGAGAGGCATCTAAATATATACTCTTGTATTTACAAAGAAGTCGGGTCTTCACGCAAATAAAAAAATATCATCATAAGTCAATGGTTTAAGAACTAACATAAGCAAATTCACAAAACAAAACACAAAACTAACAAAGAACATAGTATGTAGTTACTAATCAAATTCTTTCCTTTTAAATTACACTTTTGGAAATAATTTATACAAATATACAATGGGAAAAGGTGCAAATAGGCCCATGTACTAACCAAAAAAGGTCAAATAAGTCTTTATTTAGGAGGCTCTGCCTGGCCGTCACCATTTGGGGTGGTTCCCGTTGGAATTTTTTGATAAAATTTTTTGAGCATCTTATTCAATAAGTCTAGTTTACTCATACCAAATTTCAGTTAAAACTGCAATCAGGAAAGCATTCAAATGAATTCTTGAAAATAACTGCGCAGTTAGAAGCGCGATCATCTACAAAAATTCATTTGAATGCCTTCCCGATTGAAGTTTTAGCTGAAATTCGGTATGACTAAACTAGACTTGATGAATAAGATACTCAAAAAAATTTATAAAAAAATTCCACCGGGAACCACCCCAAATGATGACGGCCGGACAGAGTCTCCTAAATAAGGGCTTATTTGAACTTTTTTGGTTAGTACATGGACCTATTTGCACCTTTTCTCAATATACAATCAATTTCATTTCAATAACCTAAGTAGTTTATTATTATCCCAGTAACTCTAATCAAAATAAAGGATGTTAAAAACTTTGACTTAATTAAATTAAAGTTAGTGAAACGGAAATATGCAAAAAAGTTTTAATCATATATGGACATCTTTGAAAAAAGAAATCTGCAACCATATGAATAAAGGATCTTCTGTACCATATAATCTAACTGTGAAAGTAAATACCAGGCGTTAACCCTTATGGTTACCCTGGCAGATATAT